AAATATTTTTATAGGAAGGAATAGGAAGAATATAGAATAGATGAAAGGGGAAGTGTTATACCCAGTCTGTTACAGTAATCTGGATGTGAAATGATGTAACCATTTTTGAGCACTTTTCATTCATTCATTATAATATCTGTCGAGCTTCTGTCATGTGTTAGGCAGAGCTAGGTGCTGGGGATACAAAATACAAAGGTAAGCAAACAAGGAATAAAATTAAAGAATTATGTGATGGAAAGGATAAAGATTAAGAGTAAATTAAAATTTAAAATTTTACTTAATAGGATTTTAGAAGTAAGTAGGCATATTTGAGGGAAACAGACTTGCACCAAAAACAGAATTAAAGTACATGAACAGTAGAACAATGAATGGGACAGACTGATATTAAATGGTGTCTATGAGCGCTACAAGAACAAAAAAGGCTGTTTTTTCTCTTTCTTTTTTTTTTTTTTGTCATTTGCCTGATATAGTTTATACACACTTGGAAACCAACCAGCATTAGGATTATTGTCAAGAAAGGGCAGCAGAGTTGTCAAACAACTATCCATATTTTATTGACTTGGTAATTCAAGGAGGTCATGAAGATATAGACCAAAGTTGACCAGGAAGTCAGCTAATCCCGACACTGGGGATCAAATGAGAAAACGAAGGAGAGGTTTTTGTTTTAATATGAAAATATGAATTTTAATCATGCATTTTTGAAAATCCTGGCACACTTTAAGCCTGTTGTTTTTCCCATTGACCTGATTGCCATGGTTCTAGCAAATTCATTTTGCTTCACTTCTCCTATGACTATTTTCCCTATAAAGACTGTTCTTAGGATGAAGTGGCATTTATTCCCTTGGAATTGCTTTTGAATTGAATTGGGATTATAACTATTATAACAAAATACTGCTGTAGCCTATTCATTGTGGCCACCAAGGTGCTTTTGTGTGTTGGGGGAGGGGAAAACAGGCAGATGGGGTCTGTTTTCATGGAGCCTACCGTATAGTGGATGAGATAGATATTTATACAATAATTGCACAAATAATTTAGAATTATGGCCACATTAAAGGCTGTGGAGATAAGTACGTGAACTTTGAGAGGTAAAAATGGTCATCAATGAGGCTGTGATACTTGAGTTGAGATTTGAGAAAATGAGTGGGAGATTATTAAATGAAGAAGGATAGGGCACTGAGGAGCCAGCAAGTGCATTCACTGTCCCTGTGATGGAAAGGAGCATGTTAAGAACTGAAAGAAAGTCTGAAGGCTGGATTGCAGGGAGGAAGATAGAGTTGGTATAATATGAAGAAGCAGAGATAGGTAGGGACAGAATCATAAAGGGCATTGTAAGCCATGATAAGGATTTTGTCCTTTATTCTTAGAACAATAGGAAGCCATAGACATATTTCAGGGAGTGTGTGTGTGAGACAGAGAGAGAGAAAAAGAGAGACATAATATTAAATGTACAATTAAGAATTGCTCTGTTGAGGGATCGATAGTGAATGGGCAAGAGGGCCAGAGTAGATGTGCAAGAAAACCAATTTGGAAGCTGTTACAATTATCGAAGTGAGAGAATGATGGCAACTTGGACTAAGATGGTGGCAACTGAAATGGAGAAAAATGGATGAATTTTGAAAGATAGTTAAGAGGTAAAATTGGTAGGATTTTTGATAGATTAGATGCAAGGGACAACAGGAGAGGAAGACTGTCAAGGGTGATGCCTAGGTTTCTGGTATGCACAAATGGATACTGGTCCCATTTATGAAAAGAGATAATGGAAAAGGCACCGCATTAGTTGGGGAAAAACATGAATTGTGTTTTGGCTTATCATGTAGGCAGTTAGATATGTGGGTTTGGAACTCAGAAGATAGATATCATGGAAAGTTGCTATTATTTTTGACTTCCCAGCATTTAAATCCACTTTTTATGTTTGGAGAACTTCCTACCTTAAAAATCTGAGAGGAAGAAGAAGCAGAGCATGTGGCCTAGGCTTTCCAATCAAATGTACCCATCCCAAATTTTCAACTGGGAATATGTGACACAGAGAAGAATGTCCTAGGGAGAATCCCCTCTGGTAGTGGTGGCAGTTGAAATAAGATCAAGTTTACAGGGAAACTGTGGTACTGGTGGTAGCAGGAATTGTGTTGGTGTCAACTGCAGCCTTTAGTGCTTGGTTGTGATGGTGGTGTCCTGAGCTCTAGTTCTGTAGTATGAGTTTGGGCATTACTCCTTGCTATGCTGTCTCCGAACCTGTTCCTCTAGCTTTTCTGGGGAATTGTTTATTTGTGTTACACAATATCCTTGTTAACAAACTTGATTTTTACTTAAATCAGCCAGAATCAGCTTCTGTTATTTGCCTCTAAGGACTTGAACTGATACTAGAGTTCTGTTCTATAGATATACTTTTGTGAGTCACATGTTCAGTGGTTGTATTGGAAGCTGTAGACAGGGATGAGATTACTTAAAGACAAGAACAGAATGAGAGAAAAGGGCTAGGGTTGAACCTAAGGAATTTATGATATTTGATGACTGAGTAGAAGAGGATGAGTCTGAAAGAGGAGATAGATAAATTATTAGAGATAGAAGAAAAATCAGGTAAATACTGTGTCTCAGAAGCCAAGATGTAGAATTATTAATTCTTGCTTTACATTTGAGGAAACTGAAGCTTAGGTTAGAAACTTGCCCGTAGTTTTGACTTAACAAATGTCAGAAGCAGAAGTCAGATAGAATCCACATCTGTCTGACTACAAAGACTGCTTATAGAATTGATTGGATGTATACAATAGACATATCAAAGAAAAAATCAACAAGACTGTGAATATTTATAAGAGGGAGTAGTAAGTCATATGAGATACCAACTTTTCATGTATTGATTTTTGGGAGAATTACTATGCCTCTGAGACAGTATGTTAGAGTGAAAGGAAGAGATGACTTTGGATTTGGATTTGGATTTGGATCAGAATGAACTCAGATTAATGGAACAGCATGTAAGTGAAAATATTTGGGTAACTCTCAGATACAACTGGAAATATAGATTTGGGAGTTTTAAGCACAGAAGTGATAAATGAAGCCATTATGAATGAATAATTCAAAGAAAGCATAGAGAGGGGAAGAGTTAAAGAAAATGCTTAGGTAAGAGTCTACAGTGAGTAAGGACGGTGAGAGGGAAAGAAGTAGAAGCTAAAATCAGAGGATCAGGTAGAGAACTGGGAGAACTGTAAGAAAGTAGTGTCTTGCTGGGACATTGTGATGTACACCAGAAACTGACACATTGTAACTGACTATACTTGGAAGTCAGGGTTAGTGTCGCAGAGAATTTTAATGGGACCAAGTATGGAAGAGAGTTAGAAAAAAGATGGGAGTTTAAGACTAAGTAAAGACCATTACTTTTGAATAAAAACATATTATAGATTATCTGAGAAAGCAGTTAAATGTAATGGGGGATAGCGTTTGAGTTGAAAAAGTCAGTGAGGAAAGGAATGGAAAGGAATTGTAGGCAGGAAATATGCTTTTTGTTGGATAAATTTAGTCCTAAAGCAAAGAGTAATAGAGTGCAATTAGAATGGACAGCAGGTTTAAACTAAGCATTTTTTCAGATTCTGATTTGCATGTATGGAGCAATAGGGGAAGGTGCAAAGAAAAGGTAGGGAGATATTTTAATGGGAATTCTTTCCCAGAAAATGATTTGTTAGGATAAATGTTTACCTGAGTCAATGTTCTTTAATTTTTCAAGTATAACACTATATTTCATTGAGGGGATTTATAGAGGAGAATCAAATTTATTATTTAAGACCCTCCAATGGATGGAACATCTTCATCTTTATTGCTTTTTCCAGAAGGGGTTTTTGGAATGGGTGGGATACGTGGTAGTGAAGTTGGTAGAACTCAGGTATATTTTTTTGAGAGTAATTAGAATTTGCATATATGTGAATGTAAATAAATTGATTTTCAGGTTTCAGTAAAGTGGTGTTTTTAGGTTTCCACAATATTTCATAAGAAAACTTATTGTTAAGTTGAAGTGGATCAACTCTTTCCACATACCGATTTTTCCTGACAGTCATAGCAATGTAGTGCAAGCAAAACCAAAAGATAATTTAGCCTTCGTATCTATTCTCATGCCTTCCTAAAAAGGGGTAACTAGTAAATATATTATAAACAAGTATAAGAAATATAGCTGCTAAATCTCTTATGTCATCACACATTAAATTAGCCTTGATGGCTCACTATCATTAATACTAACTAATGAGCACCATTACATCACATAATAACATTGGTTATGCCTGTATGACCTGAAGTACTTAAGTAAAACAAAAAACAAACTGAAAGTATCTTCTTCATTTTAACAATCTGTGAAACAACTTAGGTTGTAGTGAATTGAGGCAATTATTTACGTCATTTATTAAATGTATCAATATTTACATTTTCACTTTAATATTATAAAAACTATTAAAATATTAAAAACATTTTCACCAGAAATATACAAACAATGAAGGCAGTTTGGGGGACTGGTTTGTTTAAATTACTGTGAACAAGTTATAAACTATAAATAATTTTTAAATTATTTAAAAAGTGAAGTCTTTATTTCATTTTGGATATGTAGACAAAGTCTAGGAGCATAAATTATCCAAAAACAGCATTTTGGACAGAAAATATTAATGCGCATTTTATTTGAAACTACAAAAAGTTTGAATGAAAATGATTTTGAATCTCTATACTTGGTTTTCAACAATTTTGAAAAATGCTGAATGTGAAAATGAATTTTGACGATTGATTCGAGTGGTTTTTGCCGTCATGTTAAAGTTAATATCAATTTTATTGCTGTTCTGCAAATAATCTTTTAAACTTTTATTTTACAAGCGGAATGAACAGTCTTAAAATAACAGCCCCGACAGTTTCCCCAGCCTGGGGCTGGGGCTTCTGACTCCAGCACGCCCTTCCGGGCGGCGAGGGGCTGGGGTCAGGCTTCGAGCGGGGCGGGAGGAGTGAGCGCCGCTGCGCCGGTCTCGCGGGGAGTCGGATCTCGCACCTCCGCGCGATCTGCAGCTCCTGCCGTGGGCTTCGCAGCGCCGGGAGGGGCCAAAGCGGGGCTCTGGCCATTCGGGGCTCGCCTCGCTGTCGCGGCCCCACGCTCGCGACCCGGAGTGGAGTCCTGAGGGACCGGGAAAGGAAGGGCGTGGGCGTTCGGGTCTCAGAGGGGCGGCTGAGGTGGGTGGGAAGGAACAGTGTGCGGCGGTTATTCCCCCGGCAGGCGGCCCTGAGGGGTTGGGGGCAGGCGGGCTGGCCGGCCCTGCCCTAGGAGTACGAACCCAGGGCACTCTGGGGGCTCCCCAGCGCGCGGCCTCGCCCTCGGCCACTCTGCCGCCCGAGGCTGTGAGGGCCACCGCGAGGCTGGAGTGTCGGGAGCGGGCGCGGCTGAGGGGACGCGAGGAGGCTGTGAAGAGAGTCCGCGAGCGAACTTCCCGCTTCGAAACGCGCGGGCAGAGTAGCTCCTAGAAATCTGCGGGTGACGAGAGAGCCCAACCCTGCCTCAGGCGTATTTTTTAATGCGGCTTGGTAGTCCTGTGAATACCTACACTTTCTGGATTCTTGTGGTGAATTCGCAACTGTAAAATCGCACGGTTCCTGTAGGTTTTCCTCGCTGTTGGTGAAGGACTTTAAGAATTTTGCTACGCGTAGTAGTATACACGTCGAGAAAGGACATACTCAGAGAGAGTATTTATTTTAAAGGGCACATCCTTTTGAGAAATCTGGGGTTCTTTGGGCTCCAGAATATCCAGTGACTTACGGCATTACCACGTGTAAACAATCAACGAAGTTTCAGTCATGCGAGTATTAAGCGAGTATTTATTGAGTACCTGCTAGGGCTGTGCCGAGTACTGGGATGAAGGGGTTTACTCCCCGCCCCAGTTCTTGCTCCGCCCACATTTTTCTGTAATAATGCTGTGTCCAAAGTTTGGTTTTAGAAAATCCTTCCTTACTATTACTTTTTTTTTTTTTTAGCATAGTATCCAAGATGAATGACAGCCTGTTTGTCAGTTTGGACAGACTTTTGCTAGAATTTGGTAGGTATAAAATGAAAATAAAGAAATAGGTAACTATTTGTATTATCATTTGACATTTTAATAATGAAGTGAAATCACAAAAGAATTGTTTATTTCAGTTTTCCAGTATGAGCAAGATATAAGTACTAAGGAAGATATGATTCAACGAATTAATAGTAAGTAGTTTTGCATGACAAAGATTTTTTCATTTTTTAATCTTTATAGTATATAAGATGCAGTCGCCTTGTTTAGGGTAACTTATAGCTGGCATTGTAACTTTTCCCCGATTCTGTCTAGTGGCTAATAAAGAGTTATTTACCCTAACTACAGTTTTTCAGTAATAGATTTCTGTATTCAGAATTTAATTATTTTGTGTTTAAGAATTTTGTTTTAAATAGAAGTGACCCTTAATTAAATGCAATTGAAAATGTTTTTTTTCAAATAACAGATTATTTCAAAGATTTGAGTGAAAATTTAAAAATGTTTTTAGAAATCATCAAGTCAGCAGCTGGGATTAATGGATGCTACATTTTAAGGAATACTAATTATGAGTGGAATGATAAAGCAAATTACATAAACGTAATACTTTAAGATCCTACATAAAAACTATTAGAGTACAACTGTTAATTTCTTAATAGTTTTGAAAGGTAGAATTTTGGTTATCTTTTCTGCAACAAAAAGAATGCAGAATATTAAGAATTTATTTTAATCTTTTTAAAAAATATATTTTATTTTTATCTTGTATTTACTCACTAGTAACAAAGAAATAAGTGAGTTGAAGATGCATTAAATATTTGACATGGAAGAGATGAATGGAAATTTCACATTTGTCAAAAACAAAACTCTTATTTTAGTATCATATGAGTAAATGTTTACATGAATTCATAACATCATAAGATGCCATTGACCTTAGGTATCAGTTAACCTAGCCCTCTTACATTTAATTTGAGGGACGGGGACATTTATTTCTCTTCAGTCCCAAACACAGATTCTTAGCTTCTTGGTCTAGGAGCAAGCCTGACTCTGGTTCTGTACTTTTTAGTAGAGTGCCCTTCCCATCTCAAGCCTCACTTGCTCTCTGTTCTCTAGTTCTCCTTTTTTATGTTAGCTGCCATACCTTTTTTTCCTACTATATTTGTTTGAGTTTATGATTCCTCCTTAAGAAAATAAGTATGTCCTTTTTCCAGAATGCCTTGAAGATATTAAAGAAAATAAAGCAGCTATTTGTAAGATACATGAAACTATAAATACAACAGATGAGGAAATTGGGCATTATTGTAAGCATAGTAAAGAGATCAAAGACAACTGTACTAAGTGAGTATTTTAAAGAAATAAACTTTCAATAATTGTCATTAGATTCTTTCATTCAAGGTTTTTGAGTTTATAGTTGCTTTAAAGAAGTTACTTTGAAGTAATATTTTATATTAGCAAAGTGATGAATAAGTCTTCAATTGCCTTGTTCCATGCCACTGTAAAAGAGATCACAAAATACAAAAGAAAAATAAAGTGTCGTAAGATCTCTCTAATTCAGATCTAATTAGTCTAAATACAGTATTTTGAATAATTGAGGCTCAGTATATAAAATTCCTGCTAGATAAGTAAATTTGAAATAATTTCCATCTTTGAATTTTCAATATCTTATTTTTAGGGAAATCTAGCCTAAAATTAATAGTTTTTCAAAATGAAAGTATTCAACATGTTCAGAATTCTTTCAGTATGGGTTCAAGTTCTGGATTCTAGTGGTTACATCTATTATTAGACAAACATTTTGAAATGAAAACTTGTTAATGGATCTTAATTGTGTGTTATAGATACTTATAAAAATAAAGTGTTAGTTTTCTGTATTTAATTTTATGTGGACCATTGTCTTTGTATTAAGTACTATATTTAAGAATCATATTTGTTTTAAAATATTTTGTTATTCAAAATTTTCATAAGCTTCTTTGGCTTTTCCCCATTACTTTTTAAATACTGGTTTTAAAATTTTATGAAAGTAACACATACCTTGTATAAAAATTCAAAAATTGTTCAAAAGTATGGAGTAAAGTTTCTCCCTGCCTGCATTCCCCAGCCCCACCCTGTCCTCTTCCTTGTAGGTAATCACTCATAACAGTGAGTACCCTTTTAGGCTTTTAAAAATACATATTCAACATCATTATTATATATGCTTATATACACACCTATCTGTATATCTGTCTTTCCTTTTTTTCAAAAATGGAGTTATACCAAACTTATTCTTCAAGTTTATTTTATTAATTTAACAATAATGTGTTATAAATGGTAGTATACATATAATGCTTATGTATAGATTTCATTCTTTTATTTAACAGCTCCATAGTATTTTATAATATTGCTGTATCTTAAGTTATTTAATCATTCTCCTACTAATAGACATTTAGGTTATTTCCAGTTGTTTCCTGTTATAAGCAACGTATACAGGTATTTTTCCATATTTGTATACCTATTGCTATAGAATGAACTCCTAGAAGTGAAATTGCTAGATCAAAGACTATGGACATTTATACATTTGATGAATAATGCCAAACTGCTCTCCAAAAAAGATCATACTAATTTATACTTCCATCAACAATATATGAGAGTTTCTATTTCCTTACACTCTTGCTAACACTGGAGTTAGTTTAATTTTTTTGGCGATCTGAGCAACCAAAAAAACTACTGTTGAACTTTTTATTTTAGTCTGTCTTAGGTTTATTTTAGTAGGTTTTACCAGTGGTTTCCCTCAGCTAGCTGCAATGGGTACTAGAAAAGTACTGATAGTTTCCTCTTAGAACCTGCTGTGTCCAAGATACATTTTACTTTATATAGGCTTGTTTTCTGCCGGGTTCTGAGGAGAGTTAGTAGGATGTGTTGATTTTAATGCATGAATACCTCTAGTTCATGATTTCAGCATATTGGTTAAGCAGTTTAAATGTGAAAAATGAATTCATCAAAGTATTAGAAGAATATTTTATTCTTCTATTCTTTATTATCATTTAATATTATTAGGTGACTATAATCTTTGAGAGAAGAAGGCCTAAGTATGTCATCAAAGGTAGAAACCTTTGTGGTAGTAAATAGTGGATAAATATGCCATGTACAAATTGAGAAGAAGAATACCTCAAAATGATACAAAAGGCAAAAGGATAAATGGAAAATGAAAGGAAAATTTGAAAAAATGTTAATTTAAAAAATATAAAGTATTTGTGGAAATTAATAAGAGCTAAAGCCCCATTAGAAAAGTGGGCAAAGAAGGTAAACAGGTAAATACCAAAGTGAAGAAATATATGTCTAATAAACATGTGAACAAATGCTCAATCTTTTGAATAATCAGACATCCAAATTAAAGCAGTAGTAAATTTTTTTTTTTTTTGCTTTTAAGTTTTGTGGACGTTTAAAGAAGGACAATACCTAGTGTTAGCCAGAAAATAAGAAAATCACCTCTCTTATATACTGTAGGAATATATACTGGTGTATACCTTTTGGGTGACATATTGGTATACTTTTAAAACTTTAAAAATAAATATGACTTTTGATTAAATGGTTCCATTTCTGAGAATGTTTCATAAGGAAATAATTACGCATTTTCTCAAAGATGTAATATACAACAAGGTGTTTATTTCAACCTTTTTTATGATAGGGAAACATTGGAAACAATTCAAATATCCAACATTAGGTGATTTGTTAAATGAATTTTGGTATATCCATATGAATGAACAGTAGGTGGCCCATTAAATTATGATGTAAGTGAATATTTACTGACATGCAAATATGTTAACAGTATATTACAAATTGAACAAAACATTAAGACAACATTTATAGTATGAACCCAATTTAGTAATTATATAATTATATATAATTAGAAAAAGTCTAGAAATATGTACATCAGAATGCTTACAGTATCTTTTCAGTGAAAATGTATTTCTTATGGAATTTAAAAAATATCTAAAATGTATGTATATATAACCTTTGACCTTATAGTTCCATTTTGAGGATTATTTTCTAAGGAAATGATTGGAAATTCAGACAAGTATTTAAGTACAAGTTATTAAAAACTTAAATTAACCAAAAATGGCCAACAATATTGGGATAGTTAGATAAATTACGTAATATGTTGTATTTATTAAACTTTAATGATGAATTCTTAGTGACAAAGGAAATGTATATAATTTAAAAGTAAGTGCTAGATGAGGATATGTTGTTTATGTGAATATGATCTAAAAATGTTAAAATATATGCTTAAAGTAAAATCTGGAAACAATTTATTTAAACAATATTAGTGGTTATTACTCAATGTTGAGAACATGGATGAAACTTATTTTTTAATATACGCTTTTCTGTGCTTCCAAAGTGAGTATGCATACTTTTTGAATCTGAAAAAATAAAAAAGATTAGAAAAAAGAGCTAGAAGAAATATTTGAACAATACTTAGAATGGGAGCTGCCATGGTGTATGCTAGTTTTAGATTTTTCACATACGTAATATTTTCTGAATCATAATGAAACAAATGTGTAATTTGAATATTTATTTTATTCCTGCTGTCTGATTTTATAATTCATTTTGGTCTAGTTTCTTTCTTTCAAGTTCAAGAGAGTGTAAAACCTGACTTTCTAAATTTTAATGGAGAAAAAGGCCTCTGTTTAGCCCTTATTGTAGCTTTTTAAATGTTTACTCTAAAAGAATTTCTTATTCTTAGTTAAGATCTTAGAAGTATGATGAGAGAGAAAGCCTGATATTGGAGTGTTTCAGACTATATTCTAGAAATGTCAAAGCAGTCCACAGTCCTGACATATCATATTTACTCATTCCCTTGTCATGATTCCAAAATAGGTTTTATGTAAAAATTAATGAATATTGATATTTGAGCATATGTATGATTGCATGAATGGTCGTAGTGGTGGTGATGGGCGATGGGAATATTTTCCCTGATGTAAACTTGTTTTCTCCAAGAAGGGAAAGATTTGTTTATCTGTAAATGGTTACCTTCATTTTTTATTGTCTCTTATAATTTGTTTATCATTCTGAGATGCTAATTACAATATTTTTTTCTATAGCTGGAAGCCAACGTGTGATGTTTTTCATAAACATGAAGACTATATGCAGGACCAATTTACTTTTTATCAAGAAACTATTGAAAAAGACAAGTACAGTACATACATTAATTTAAAATTATCAATTCTATAAGTTAGTATTAATAAGATATGCTTTGTAAAACTGTTAATTGAAGAATGTAGAAACTTTGAACACAAAATTTTTTGTTTTAAATAATAAATTTTTGTTTGTTTGCTTGTTTTTGGACTCTTCGGATGTCATTGTTGGCCTACCTATTTGTTACAAGCTCTATCTAACCCTGGATATGTTTAAATATGTCCTTGGAAACTGTTAACCAGTACCAATTATAATGCACAGTGCTACAGTTAATGTTCTTTATGACTCAGTTGTTTTGTTCAAACATTTGGGGGAATAGTTAGCTGTATGAGAAATTTGTAGCTTATGAGGAATTTGGAGTATTGACTTTTGAAGGGTATTTTGTATCAAACTTCTGTTTTTCAGAGTGCTAATTTAGTGGGGTGTTATATTTTGATGGAGAAATACTAATATTTATATGGGGTTATTTGTAAAATCATCTGGTTTGGGGGACTAAATGTAATTAGTGAATATAATGAAACAAGGCAAGGGACTTTGAATGCATTATATAGCATTATAATTTCACTTAATTATAAAATTTAAATGTTTTTATTTTTAACACAATTGGACAAAGGCAGTATCTATTTTGTTTTTTATTTTTATCGACTTATTTTACTACTTTCCCCCAGCTTTATTGGGATATAATTGACATATAACACCCATAAAGTCTGAAGTGTACAACATGATGATTTAATACATGTATGTATCATGAAATGATTGCCACAAGGTTAAGTAACATATCTATCACTTCAGTTAATGAGTTTTTTTTGTAGTGAGAACAGTATTGTTATATTCAACATGCTTTATATTAGATCCCTAGAACTTACTCATCTTTTAACTGGAAGTTTGTACCCTCTGACGAACATCTCTCCATTTCCTTCACCCCCCAGATCCTGGAAACCACCATTCTTCTCTGTTTCTATGAGTTCAGCATTTTTTTTTTTTAGGTTTTACGTATGAGTGTGATCATAACAGTATTTATTTTTCTCTGTCTGACTTATTCACTTAGCATAATACTCTCATGTTCTATCCATGTTGTCACAGATGCAGGATTTCCTTCTTTTTGTGACTGAATAGTATTATATACACACACACACACACACATGTATATCTCACATTTTCTTTATCTGTTCATCTGTTGATGGATACATAGGTTGTTTCCATGTCTTGGCCATTGTGTATAATGCCTCAGTGAACATAATGGAGATGTCTTTTTAGAATAATGATTCTATTTCCTTAAAATATATAGCCAGAAGTGGGATTTCTAGATCATATGGTTGTTTTATTTTTAATTTTTTGAGGTACCTCCATACTGTTTTTCATTGTGGCTATGTCAATTTACATTCCCACCACTTGTGTACAAGGGGGGTCCCTTTTCTCCACATTCTTGCCAACACTTGTTTTTTGTCTTTTTGGTATTAACCATTCTAACTGGTGTGAGGTAATACCTCATTGTGGTTTTGATTTGCATTTTTGTAATAGTGATTTTGAGCATCTTTTCATGTACCTTTTGGTCATTTGCATGTCTTCTTTGGAAAAATGTCTATTCAGGTCCTCTGCCCATTTTTAACTTGGATTATTAGTCTTTTTGCTGTTGAGTTGTATGAGTTTCTTTTATGTTTTGGATATCAGCCTCTTATTGGATATATGGTTTGCAGATGTTTTCTCCTATTCCTCTTCACTTTATTGATAATTTCTTTTGCCGTGTAGAAGCTTTTTAGTTTGATGTAGTCTCACTTATTTATTTTTGCTTTTGTTGCTTGTGCTTTTGATATCATAGCCAAAAAAAAATCATTGCCAAGACCAACATCAAGGAATTTTTCCCCTGTATTTTCTTCTAGGAGGTTTATATTTTCAAGTCTTATATTTAATTTAAGTTTTTAATTCATTTTGAGTTAGATTTTGTGAGTGTTGTAAAATAGGGGCCTACTTTCACTCTTTTGCATGTGGATATACAGTTTTCCTAGCACCATTTATGGAAGAGAGTATTCTTTCTCCACTGAATATTCTTGACTCTTTTCCAAATACTGATTGACGGTATATTCATGGGTTTATTTCTGGACTTTTGATTCTATTCTGTTGGTCTATCTGTCTGTTTTTATGCCAGTACCATACTATTCTGATTTCTGTATCTTTGTAACATAGTTTGAAATGAGGAATTGTGATGCTCCCACATTTGTTCTTTTCTGAGATTGCTTTAGATATTTGTGTTCTTTTGTGGTTCCATGCAAATTTGGGAATTTTTTTCTATTTCTGTGAAAAATGCTATTGTAATTTTCATTGTATTGAATTTATAGATGGCTTTGGGTAGTATGGATATTATAGCAGTGTTAATTCATATAATCCATGAGCATGGAATATCTTTCCATATTTGTGTCTTCTTCAGTTTCTTTCATAATGTCTTACAGTTTGCGGTGTATAGATCTTTTAACTTCTTGGTTAAATTTATTCCTAGCTTTTCTTTTAGTGTTTTTGATGCTATTCTAAATGAGATTTTCTTTATTTCTTTTTCAGATAGTTCGTTGTTAGTGTATAAAAATGCAACTGATTTTTGTAGGCTGATTTTGTATCCTGAAAATTTACTGCATTTGTTGATTAGTTCTATTAGTTTTTTGGTGGAGACTTAGAGTGTTCTCTCTATAAGGACATGCCATTTGCATGTTTCAGACTATATTCTACTTCTTCCTTTCCTGTTTGGATGCCTTTTATTTCTTCTTCTTGCCTAATTGCTCTAGCTAATTTTTCCAGTACTGTGTTGAATAGGAGAGTGGCACCTTTGTCCTGTTTCTGATTTTAGAGTAAAATCTTTTAGCTTTTTACCATTGAGTGTGGTATTAGTTGTGGCCTTGCCATATATGGCCTTTATTATGTTGAGGTATATCCAATTTGTTGAAAGTGTTTATCATGAAAGTGTTTCAAATTCTGCCAAATACTTTTTCTGCCTCTGTTGAGAAGATCATATGATTTTTTTTAATCTTTCATTATATTAATGTGATATTTCATGTTTAATGATTAGTGTTTGTTGAAATATCCTTGCATCTGAAGGATAAATCCCACTTGGTCTTGGTGTATGATCTTTTTAATGTGCTGTTGATTTTTTTTTTTTCAGTATTTGTTGAGAATTTTTGTATCTGTATTCATCAGGGGTATTGACTTGTAGTTTTCTTTTCTTGTAGTGTCCTTATTTGGCTTTGGTATCAGGGTAATGCTGGCCTCGTATAATGAATTGGAGAGTGTTCTCTCTTCTTCCATTTTTTGGGGAAGAATTTAAGAAGGATTGACGTTAATTCTTGTGTAAATGCTTGGTATTATTCACTAGTGAAACCATCTGGTCCTGGACTTTTCTTTGTTTTCTTTGTTGGGAGGTTTTTGATTACTGCTTCTATCTCCTTACTAGTAACTGACCTGTTCAGATTTTTATTTTTTCATGGTTCAGTCTTGTTTTTAAGGTGTATGTTTTACTTTATTAGATGCCAATTTTACACATAGTTGTCCGTTTTTACATTCCCATTAGCAATGTAAGGACATTTTATTTGCTCCACATTCTTGTCAGCATTTGGTATTATCAATCTTTTAAATTTTAGCTCATTGTGTCCTTATCCCTTCTTCATATCTGAAGGACAGTTTTGCTGCAAATAGTATTCTTCTTGGCAGTTTTTTCTTTCAGTACTTTGAGTATGTGATCCCATTCTCTCCTGGCCTGCAAGGTCTTTGCAGAGACATCTGCTGATAAAGTTATGAGAGTCCCTTTGAGATGAGTCATTTTTCTCTTGATGCTTTCAAAATTCTCTTTGTTTTTGAGTTTTAGCGTTTGATTATGTGTCTCGAAGTCATCTTCTTTGGGTTGATCTTGCATGGAGTTCTTTGGGCTTCTTGTGCTTGAATGTCCATCTCTTTCCCAAGATTTGGGAAGTTTTAAGCTCTTATTTCTTTAAATAAGCATTTGCCTCTCCCTTTCCCTCTCTCTTTTCCTTTGGCACTACCATGATGCAAATACTTGTTTGTTTTTCAGTATTCTGTAATTCATATAGACTTTTTTACTCTTTTTCATTCTTTTTCTTTTTGTTCCTCTAATTGGCTAATTTCAAATGAACAGTCTGAGTTTGCTGATTCTTTCTCTTGCATGATCAAGCCTGTTGTTAATGCTCTCTGTTCTGTTCTGCCATTGTATTCTTCAGCTTCAGGGTTTCTGTTTGGTTCTTTTTTATGGCTTCTATTTCTTCATTAAGCTTCATTTTGTTCATGCATTGTTTTCTGGCTTTTGTTTAGTTGTCTGTGTTCTCTTGCATTTTACTGAGTTTCTTTAAGATAATTATTTTGAATTCTTTGCAAGGTAAATTATAGATCTCCATTTCTTTGGGGTCAGTTACTGAAGCTTTATTACTTTTCCTTGGGTGGTGTTATGTTTGCCTAATTCTTTGTGATTTGTGCAACCTTGCATTGGTGTCTGTGCACTTGAATGAAAAAACACTTCTTCCAGTCTTTACAGACTGTTTTTGGCAGGTAAAGACCTTCTCCTGTTGGTTTCCAGGGCTGATGGGATTCCCTGTAGAATTGTAGTTGTACTGAGTTGGAGCTATTTTGAGACTGTCTTTGGGTCTGCAGTGGGATCGATGGTTAGTGTGTTTGTTACTAGGGGCTCAGGCAGGTATGGCTCCTATCTGGTACCTGGGTGAATGAGACTGCCCCAGTATTTTGTTCAGTAGGATAGTACTGGGACAAGTGTCTGCTTCAGGTTCCACCATTGGGTCCTCAGTCAGCAGGCATATTACCAAATCTGTGGACAAGTGTGGCTCCCAAGTCCCTGGGAAAGCTCCTGCCTAGTTACTGGATGGATTCATGGGTGCTTAGGACTGTCTCTGGAATGTGGCTGGGAGCAGCTAGAACTGAGCCTTAGGGCTGTTTCAGGTTTCACAAACAAGATTGGGGTCTACAATCCTGGTTCTCAAGCCGCAGATGGGCATGTCCCTACTGAGTCCCTGAGTGGGCTGATATTTTCCTTGATTGTAGCTGGAGAAGCTGGAGACAAGTATAGGGCCCTTTCAATATCTCCAGGGTAGCAAATAGGAGTATATCCTTCTGGGTCCCTGGCTGGAAGTTCTGTTGGTGCTAGACTGCTTGGGATCTGGAACCAAATATAGGGCCCTTCAGGATCTATGGGGTGCATACAGGAATGTCTCTTGCTGCGACCCTGTGCCCTGTGACAAACTGTGGCTGTGAGAAGGCTGGAACCAACTACTGGAGCCTTATAAGATCTTCAGAGGCACAAACAGAAGTGTCTCCTGCTAGATCCTTGTGCCAGTAGGGTTCCTTGGTGACTGTGGATGAAATAGGCTGGAACCCAGTTACAGAGCCCTTTCAGATTCTACGGTCTGACTGAGCTTGGGAGGCTTATATGCAGGGGCTCCCAAACCATGGCCATAAAGGGCTGGAGCTGGCTCACAGGCCACTTCAGGGTCCACAGCTGGGACCATTGTCTGTATGCCTATTACATGACACATGTGACTTCTTCTGGGTCCCTTAGTTTATGGGACTGGTGACAGACCCAAAGCAAAATGGGACTTAGCTGAGTTTGCAGGTGTATGAGGATGTTTCCAGGTCCATACCTAGGACCACAGTTAGAGAGTTAGCCACCAAGGTACAAGTCTGTCTTCTCAAAATGACACTCTTCAGTCTTGGACTGTACCAGAGTTTCATAGTTTCCTACCTGGACTCCAAAGCTTCCAAAAAGGCATTTTTGTCCATAGATGAATGCCAGATTTTTATTGTTGAGGGCATGATATGCACAAGGGATATTTTATTCTGCCATCTTGCTGACATCTCTCCTATTTTGGTATTTTAATTAAAAACACACATAATCTAGCATCGATACATTTTATATTTAAAGATGAGTCTTAAGAAAAAGTAGGGACTGAAGGTACCACTTTGAAATTCACTCACATTTGACATCATGGAAATAGATTAGATTGCCCAGGGAAATGTATAGAGTAAAAAGAAAAGAAAGCTAGAGTATGTGGTCATCCAAGGAATAGGCAGAGGGTAGAATGAGTGAAGGAGACTGTTACTTTGTCATTTATAGGCCATGTTTCAATGCAAAAAAAATTTGAGATGATTTGTATAAAGAATACCATAGTATTAAAAGAAAATTAGATATAAAAATTGAGGCTATAGGAAAGCAAGGATAATATAGGTAAAGTCTTTGATCAGGATAGAAATTCATACTATATGGTCTTGCACATTTCTTAGATATAGGCACAAATTAGACTTTGAAGTTCCTAGTAGTAGTCAAAGCATTGTGGAAATGTGATCAGTTTAGAATTCAGAGTATTCATTTAAAAAACAGTTCAATTGCTTAGAATAAGCAGAGGTTTTTCCTGGTACTAAGAATTGAGATAAATTTCTTCCTTGGGTTCTCATAAAGAGGAAATTGTGCAATATGGTAGTTAGTATCTTCAATGACCTCTACCAAATAAGCACAATATGTATTACTGCTTCTTATAACATCTCTCAATACAAACCATGACTATAAAACATTATTTAAAGTGATTCTATGAGGGGCTGAAGCAAACCAGTCCAAATTTGTACCTCTCTTATAGTGTTTGTTGTAGATGAGTCCTCTTAGCTAGCCAGAGGTATTAAAGTAAAAACATCTGTTTGTTTTTTTTCTTTCTTAAACCAGCCACATAGGTTGATTGAATTGATGACTCAGTACTAGGCATTTTCAGAGAAAAAAAGCCCATCTGTTGGTATCATGGGTAATGAAGGAAGTAGAGGCACCAGCTACTTATTTATCCTAATCTCCTATTCCTGTCCCAGGCATTCACAAAGACTAGTATTACTGGCAACAGATGACATAGTAAGGTTTCTTCTTCTTTTTTTAATTGAAGTACAGTCAGTTACAATGTGTCCATTTCTGGTGTACAGCACAGTGTCCCTGTCATACATATGCACACATATATTTGTTTTCGTATTTTTTTCATTAAAGGTTATTACAAGATATTGAACATAGTTCCCTGTGCTACACAGAAAAAACTTTTTTAAAAATTTATTTTTGTATATAGGCTAACATTTGCAAATCTCAAACTCCCAAATTTATCCCTTCCCGCCCCCTTTCCCCAGTAACCATAGGATTGTTTCCTGTGTCTGTGAGTCTGCTTCTGTTTTGTAGATGAGTTCATAGTGTCTTTTTTTCTCCTTTTATTCTTTTGTTTTTAGAGTCCACATATGAGTGATATCATATGGTATTTATTTTTCTCTATCTGGCTTACTTCACTTAGAATGATGATCTCTAGGTCTATCCATGTTGCTGCAAATGGCATTATTTTATTCTTTTTTATGGCTGAGTAGTATTCCATTGTATAAATATATCACAACTTCTTTATCCAGTCATCTGTCAATGATCACTTAGGTTACTTCCATGAAGGTTTCTTCTTGAATCATGGCGTGGGCTGACAAAAAGTTCTTGTATGGAGTATGTTAGGAGAGTCAGCATGAATATGCAGTCTGAATGACATATTGGTGGAATGCTGATCTCATCTGAAACTAGTGACCTAGACTCAGTTTTCTTATAGATATTTCCCTCCTTTCTGGGAAATACCTTTCAACCCTCAAGAAATGATGGCTTAATTAGCAAATATTCATTTAGAGGGATAGGAACAAACTTCTTTTGAACTAAATTGCTTTATCTTGCATAACGGGACAGAATTTAGTAATATTAAGAAATTAAAACATTCTTAAGATTCAGACCTGTTGACCAGTTGACCAGGCTGTTATCTTACTTTTCTTCTCACTGTATAAGCAGTGTGTATATTTGTTCTTTTCTCGTCTGCTAAAGTGAGATAATCATTGCTGTATCTTTTAAGAAATTTTCCTATATAGTATGGCTTGATTTAGAGAATTAAATTTTGAGGAACATTAAGGCTATATATTTTTAGAAATTTTTCTATGAATATTATTTCTGAAACTCAGTATACATTTGATAAGGATTAGGTTAAAAAAAGGAACCAAGAATATATTTTCCATAATGAACATGGATTGAACATTTTCAATGTTGTAGACCAGGACTGATGAACTTTTTTTAAAGGCCAAATAGTAAATGTTTTAGGCTTTGTGGGCTATATATAGTCTTTGTCATACTCAAGTCTGCTATTGTGGTACAAGAGCAACTTTAGACAATATGTAAGTGGTTGACTGTGTTCTAATAAAACTTTATTTATAGGCATAATGGTTTGAATTTCATATAATTTTAATGTGTCATGAAATGTTCTGTTTTTTCAATCATTCAAAATGTGAAAACGACTCTTAGCTCATAGGTTGTACAAAAACAGGTGGCCGGTTGGATTTGACCCATAGGTCATAGTAACTGACTCCTACTGTAGATCAAGCAAAGTTCAAATGGGAAGGAAGAGTTAATATCCTTCTGCAAGAATTAAACATGCTACTGAAAACTGGTGCATAAATAGATGACCGTGCTCCTCTATCTGAGTTGTACTGGAGTGCTTCCAAACGGTGCTGAAATTTTCTTATAAAATAGTTGTGGATTATTCAAGAATGATTGTGAATGCAAAGTTCTTACACATAGAACATAGCTTCATGTGATAATTTTAGCTTAGAAAACTGAGGGAGATTTAAATGCACAGTCATAGAGGGAGCTGAACTAGGGAGGATAGAGATTTAAGAAGTGATCAAAAGAACCAGCTTCTGCAGTGTCATTTAGGATGAGAACTGAAAAGAGATCACTGAGTTGGACAGATTAGATCATTGGTGACCTTGGGAAGTTTGGTTCATTAGAATAGTGGGTGTCGAAGTTTAATTGAATAGGATTAAGGAGTGAGTAACTCAGGTAGTGAAGAAAAAAAGTAGAGAGTTGAAAAGTGTGACAGAGCTAGGAAAAAGTTGAAGGGGAGACAGTATTGAGGGAAGCAAGAATAAGTAGATTTTTGACTTTTTTTTGCTTAATTTAGTACACTTTAACAAGTGATTTTAGAAAATTTTTAGGTATACTTTTGTTATATTGACATCATTTCTTTTAATTTTAACAGAAAAATGTACCATGATTATATATGTCAGTATAAAGATGTTTTGAAGCAATACCAACTAAAATACTCAGAAACACCTCTTTCACGTGAATATTATGAGAAGAAAAAAGAACATGAAGAAACTCAAAACAGAGTGTTGGCATGTACTGAACAACTAAAAATGAATGAAACTATTTTTATGGAATTTTTAGGTATTAGTGTTTTGTTACATACTGTTTATAATGTTATTTTTATAATTAAAAGAATAAAATAAATCAGGCTAAAATATGACTTTGTTTTTCAGTGCCTGCTCCCTTTCCATCACTTACCAATTGGACGTTACATATGTATCCACATTTCTACTTAGAATTTTTATTGGATAAGTATTATTTCTAATTTTAATTGTTGTGTTTCCCTGGTGAGAAGCACATGGATTTGTTTTTTGTTGAATTTTAAAAATTTAGAGGTTACCTTAAAGTCATCTGGGATTAGTTTTCACATATGTGCATATCATTAGAAGTGAGTAATTTTATTGCAAATAAATAGTATATGTAGCTGGCTTTAAGTGGCATATCTTAGCAACCAAACTAATGAAAAAGTCATCTGGCCGTCTTACCAAAGAATGAGTTCCAATTAAATCGATTATTACCTGTTAGAATGGAAAGTGGTAAGGAAGTGAGTCACAATTCATTGGTACCTACTTTCTGCCAGGTAATACCCAAGAAGATACAGAACATTCTTATAAGAAGCTCACAGTTTAGTAGAGGAAGTAGAGATGTAAACAAGTAATTCTAATACAGTGACATTGTATTAGATGCTTAAGTAATTCTTAATTGGTCTAAGTCTCATCTGTTTGTCAAGGAGAGCTTCCCTGATGATGAACTTGGAACTTTAATCCTCTTCTACCCTCCACAATCCTTCATATGCTTTCCTATCAGATTATAACTCCACTGTTTGTACTAAATCTTCTTTATCCCTGCATTCTACCTTGCTTCATCCTAAATCATCCTTTTAACCCCTTTGCTGCTTGCCCTCTCCATATTTGGGTTTTAGCTTATTCTGTACTTAGTTGTTCATTTGCTGCCCATCTGTGTTATAACTTCTCAGTGGGAAGGGGCAGAGGTTGGTAGATGCAGAAGGTACAGCAGGGGTTTAGGGAGTTGGATATAGAAATGGATGAGACATAAGATTGCATAAAAAACACGAAGAGGTGATGGAGGTAGAGAGAATTGAAATTAGAATTTAAGGGTCTACATCTAAAACTTTAAACTGATGATTTTGATAATAGATTGGCATTATAAATAATATTCATGTGAAATTTTATTTTCTAGAGTATAAATCATAAAGTTTAAGGCAGAATAGGAAAGGTCTGACAGATTTTCTCTGGTGTTCCTGTTCGCTAGCACTGTTTTATTTATTTTTAAATTCTCCTAAACATATTGTCGAATAACTTAGGAAATTGTAGTAGCTAATAACAGGCAGCAGGCTGTCTGTTAACACCTGAGAAATTCTCTACTTGAAGTTGGGTATAAATCCAGTTCAAGCAGAAAGTTTGGATGGAAAATCTAGCTGTCTTTTGAGTTCTGCAATGTGCACTGATGAACCATACAGAGTAAGAAAAGGGAAACTTAGTGGATTTTTAATGTTGACCTTGGAACAAATAAACAATGAAAACGCAAGAAGTGAAAACACCAAATGACATGATGAACTTGAGTGAAAAACAAAAGTAAAAAAAAACCCTATGAAAATATTTAACTGAAAGAAAAAAATCTTAACATATTTTTGGTGAAATGTTGTTTTTAAGCAAAGTATAAAACAGACAAATAATAAATTGTCTTTGTCAATTTGCCAAATGCTTATATTAGTCTTACCACTATTTTCAGATACAGTTGTTAATATTACTTATATGATACACATATGTAAATATTACATAATACTAATTATTTCTGATATAGTACATATATTACAATTGTGAAATTTACTTGTGTAATATAGTTCCTTAAACATAAAAGGGTCAATTTGAGATTCAAAACACAAGATATTCTTAAACATGCTGGCGAATTTTCCAAAAGTTCATCTGAATTGAAGAAAGAAGTAGATGAAGTGGAAATAGAAATTAATTATTTAAACCAGGTATACATTTTGTTATATGTTTCTGATATATGTGTTAATGTGTAAGTGTAGTGATATGTTAGTTGACAGTCTTAGCAGAGCTATTGTTAAAGAGCCTCAATATGGAGAAAGGTTTATGATAATTTATTTGCCTCAGATTACCTTTGGAGCCAAAATGTGTTTTACGTAGGAGTATATTGAGCTCCGAGTTTTGGGAAATAGTTTAACTTTCTTTGGGTGCTGAGGAAGGAAGACAAGGAAAGAATAAGATGTACCTTAATAATAGGTATTTAAAGGCATTAATAGCTTACAAAGTGTTGTCAAAAAGAACAAGAAAATAATTTGCTTAAGGGATAAATTGCTTAAGGAACTTAATCTTGAAAATTTTATGACTATAATCTTTATAAAGCTAGACTAGAACTAGTTTAGCCTTTAAGATTGATATCACATGATATTTTCTTGAATATACTTTTAGTGTCATCTATTGAAATGTAACTTTTATTGACAGGTATGAGAACCCATCAAAGGTACTTACAAATTTTGAGGAAAAAAGTGAATAGCTAATTTTCTAAATTAAAAAATTATGTTAAAATGGTATATTTATCATTTATAGGCAGGTTACAAATAACAGTAATACCGTTTTAGCAATGAGAAAAAAATGGATGCCACTTTCTTTAAAATATTTGGTAACTATGTCTCTGTGTAGGGAGTCAATGTTTACTTTCATTAAAAGATAGCTAATACTACCAAAAATATAAATCTTGTGATTATGTAGGAAAAATAGTATTCATTAGTTAAGATAAAGCATATGTTCCTTTGTAGGTAATTATTTTATTTTGCTTTGTTATTTTTATTTTTAGCAGATTGCAAGACTTTATGAAATGAAGACTCTTTCAGAAACTATGGAAGAAAAAAATAAAAATATAGAAAAGAGAAAGGAATTGAAAGAAAGGTATAGGTAAACTTTAAAACGGGACTTTATGTGAACAGATGTTCTGCATCTAAAATTTGATTCTATATCCTCTCCAAGCCGCTAATATTTATATAATATCTATAAACATGTATTGTACAGGCTATTTTCTATTCATTTCTTATGAAAAATATTAATTTATACCTTTAAATATTAGGGACATATATTCAAACTCGCTTGTTATTTAGTAAGGCCAAGGATAATGTGTAGTGAGAAATAGGGTAGCAGCAGCCCGTTTACTGTTCTGTAATCTGTCAGTTGTCCATTTCATCCAGTTTTCCATTATGGGTCACTGGTAGGAATGAAACAAGGGGAACAATGGTGGGAGCAGCCATGTATTTACCTTTTTATCACCCTGTCACCAGCTTGACAATTCTTTGCCATAGAGAGATGAGCCAAAACGTTACTGAATCTGTGGCATCATATGTTTCATTGTCCTTCATCCTAATGGTGATAAAATAGACATCAGTGGTGGAGGCATTTAAAAAGAAAAGGTTGATTTTGCCTGTTATTGTGTGACAGAAAAATAGATGTATTATTGTTGCTGTTTCTGATAAACTTTCTACTTTTTCTCTTTCTCCTTTACTCTTACATTCTTCTTAAATTTCTCTTAGCAGGCTCCATTGCTCTGATTTTGATTTTTCAACACACTCTTCTCCCAAGTTAAATTCTCAGATTCTCCTTCCTTACATCTGTTATTTTATTAATTTCCCCACTCCCACGTCTCACATCTATGGTAATATGTCTTTAACTTTTTAATGAAATTGATTACAAAAATAGGTAAATGTACTGAATTTCACTTTACTGATAATATTTTAATCTTATAAAAATAATATTGAGAAGAACTTATATAGCTAGTTATTTTAAGTCATATTTTGATAGTTATTATCAAAGAATATCATTTAAATTATTATTTAACTATCAATAATTAAAATTATTTCTTTAATTTAGGAAAAATTCAGTGAAATTATCTTCCAGTAAAACACTTACTAGATCCATTTATGGATGTAATATGGCTTTAATGATGTCTGTGTTCATGCTAGTTGATTTGTTTCTGAATAAGTCTTTTTAAAAGTTTGAAGTAGCACTCCCAAATCTAAAGCATGCTATTTGTGGATATCGTTTTGGTTTAAAATGTTTTTGATGTGTTTAGAAATTCTTTTAAAATGATTATGTTTTAAAAATGAGAGTGTGGTACATTGAGAACACAGGACTTAATCAGGAAAAGTGTGTATTAGCTATGACACTAGTAAGTAATTTAATAATATTGGGCAGATCTGTTAAATTTCTGGAACTAGGTTTCATTATCTGCAAAATGAGGAGTTTTAAGTGTATAATATCTAAATATCTTTTCTAGCTTTAAAATACATTAATTTTTTACTTAGTTAGTGTTTAATATAATTCAGTTTTCCCTTTAGAATTTTTGAAAAAGATGAACAACATGTACTTACATTGAATAAAACTCCTCAAAACAGTCAATTATTTCTTCCATATGAATCTCAAAAACTAGTCAGACCAATAAAGATGCATTCTTCAGAACCAAGAGTTACAGGTACAGTATCTTTTTTATTATTCAAAAACTTAGTTTTCTTTGCATTTCTTTCATGGAAGAAGAAATAGAAAAGAACAATTTTAGTTGTTTGGTGTAAGCAAGAACAAACAATGCTGGAGACCTATTGACTCAGGAAGGTGTCACTTTTATTCTGAGAGCAAACAAGATGAGCCTTCTGTACATAACAGTTTTCTCTTTGAGAAAGAAATCACTCACATGATATTTTTAAAAAGCGTTCTTGTCTGCCTTTACAGCTGTCAGAGGAGGATGATTAATTATATGTTTTTCATTTGAGAAGTTGTATTTTCAGTATTATCAGTCTGTGTGATTAAAATGGGTAGCAGGCTTGTGTTAATGATATTTGTGACTTAGTCACTGAGATATTTCAATCATATTTCATTCAGTGACTCTGTAGATTAATTGCATTGTGTTAGATTAACTACACTGTTTCTTTTCCCCAATTGTTAATTTCACCACTCTGTGTTTGATTCCCCATTATAAAGATGTATAAAGTTTTGTCTGGTGTTTTCCGTTTTATATTCATAGTTATTATAGTAATTATTATATAGCGAGGAATTAAGATAATAATTTCATAATTCTATATTTTAACTTAAATAAAATATTCATGTGACTTGATTTTTTTTAATTACAAGGTTAGGATAAATGTTGGCCATGACGTTTGATTTTATCTCTTGAACTAATTTGAAGTTTTACAATTTAATAACCTAGATAAAAAAGAAAAAAGTTCTGTGAAACAGTCAAAGCTTGCCAATATTGACTTCGGACAAAAAGAAAATGATGCACAGGTAAGTATTTCTTTTTTAATAGTATAAATTAAATGCTTGTGTTAAATGAGAGTGAATTTACCACATTTTGGAAATGGGTGTATATGTGTTATAAATATATTAAAGCAGCCATTAGTATAATCTCAGGATCTAAAAAACTTAAAGAGATTCAATATGGCAGCTTGAGCATATACAATAGCCTTCTCACTTCTAAAAATAAAAGATATTTAAAAATACCAAGCCTTGTACCCAGTAGACCAAAAACTAAGACATTGCTAAAGGAGTAAAACAAATTTGGATTGAAGATGGAAATTGTAGCCCAGGACTTGATAGGAGAGTACTCTTGTAGAAGGTATAGGCCTGAGGACAATGAATAGGATAATTGGTTGGGTTGCTTTAGTGAGCATTAGTTTAGTTAACACCTAATCATTGCATATCTAATCTGTCTTTTGCCAAGCATGAACAATGGGATAACTGTCTCCAGGTGGAAACTGAGTATAGGAGCTTGGGTTAGAGAGATAGACGGTCCTCTGGGTGATTCATGAGGCTTATGAAGAACACTCAGAAAGCTAGCTTCTGGTGTACATATCTCTGTCTTCTCCCATTCTTCCTGAAAATAGTTCAGAGGGGAATTCTCAATGAAAAATATAATTGCTTCTCATTAATACATATTAAAACACACAAATACAGGGGGAATGGTAACCAAAATAATTAGTGAGACTTATTAATTCTAAATATGTTTTAATTACAAAAATTACAAAATCCAGTACTAAAATTCCAGATGATATCAATATAGGATGAAAGTGGGAAGATAAAAGAGGGAAACAAAAGTTTACTCAAGTTATTTTTTTGTCTTCGGATGGAGGTAGGGAGAAGATACGAATACTGATTAACTCTGTATATTGTTGGAAAAAATGTAGATTTATCCATATGTGTTAGACACTTAACAGTAGCCAACAAAAGAGCAATGGAATGTGTAAGTTTTAAAACAGTAGAAGAAAAAAGGTGAAATCAAGAAAACCTAACTAGTCCAAGAAAAGGCAGGAATGGGAGGTGGAGGTGAGAATAAAAGAGCTAGAAAGCATTGTAAATAGAAAACAAATAAGATGTCAGAAATAGTTCTGAACAAGCTGGTAATCATAAAAATGTGATGGATGTGCTTCTATGGGATATATAAACAAAGTACAGCTAAATACTATTAAAATACAACAGCTGAAACAGCTTGACAAATGAAAGCTGAAAACAAAAGGATGGAAAATAACAGGTAAATGCAAACAAAAACAAAGCAGGTGTAACAGTGCCATACAAAACAGAGTTCAAAGTAAAAAGCATTAATAGAGACAAATATATTTCATGTTTTTAAAAGACTAATCACCAAGAAATCATAAGAACCATGATGCACTAAATTATATAGTTTCAAAATATATAAAACATAAATTGTTAGAATTCCAAAGAAACATTTGAACCCACAGTTAAAACAGGATCACGCTCTCAAAAAAAGTACTGATCTTGAGATTAGGGGTTGAGTTTAGCTGCATGTGAAATGATTACAAAACCAAACTCATTAAATAATAGCATCTTAAACAAGATAAGCATTAAATTTTCTCTTCTTGCCATGAAATTCTAAAGTAAGTGACTAAGGTTCACTAGAGCTGATAGCACCATCTCCACAATGTCATTGTTTCTCAGGCTCCATCTGTGTTTTCTTTTTCTGTGATCCTTAATGCTAAGCTTTCACCTCAAGGTCATCTCATGGTCAGAAGCTAACCATTACAATTTTGCCATCGTATCTGCCATCTCTTGGCAGCAAAGAAGAAAGGGGGAAAGGCTGGCTGAGTCAGCCCCATTTTTAAGGCTCTTTCCTAGAAGCTCCTTAAACAATTTATGATAGTATTTCATTGGTGGAGAGGTTGAGAAATATGATTTTTTTTGGTTTTTTTAATTAGAACACAAAGAAAGTAAATCTTGGATAGCATAGAAGACTGGCAGTTTCTGTCACAGGAATGATTCAAGTAGATAGAAAATAAGTAAGGATGTAGAGAATCTTAATAACACAGTTAGCAAACATTGTGTTCAACATACACAGAGTTCAGTTAAATTTTTATTTGCAGTATTCACCAAAATTGAACAAAAGGATATAGCAACCAACTTTAAAAAGTTACTATCTTTACTGACCACAATATTAAAAATACAAGTTAAACAAAAAGATAGCCCTCTTCTCAAAAAACTATTTGACTGAAAAAAAAAAGAAATTCACACACTTTCAAATTACTTTTGGGTTATAGAAGAAATCAAAATGGGATTTTAAAACAATTTAAAAGAATACTGTAAACCTAAACTTGTGAAATGTAGCCAAATTGGTCCTCAGAGGGAAACACATTTGAAAAGATATACTAGAAAATATATCAACAAATATATTAGAAAATGAGAAAGATTAAAATTAGCTGAACTTTCAGTATGAAAAGTTCAACTCAGAGTACAAAAAGCTCAAATCAAAATAGAAAAATAACAGAATAATAATTGCAAAGAAAGTAGGAATTTATCAAGAGAAAAGCAGAAATTAATGAAATTTAAAAGTTAGGTTAATTAATATAGCCAAAAGCTCATAACTTTCAGCAAGTATAAAGGAAAAAAGAAAGCCTCTCTCCCCAAAAAAAGAATAAAAGGGGGAAAGTGCTTATTGTTACACCTATAGAAGAAATCTTTTCAAAGTCCTAAGAGGATACTATGTAAAACTTTATGCCAATAAATTTGAAAATTTAGGTGACATGGACAGTTTTTAAGACAATTCAAATTGCTAAATAGACTGAAAAAGGAAAACACAAATAGATCAATAACCTAGAAGAAACTGAAATGTAAATAAATATCTGTTTCCCTCTTTTCTCCTTTATTTCCCTCCCTTCTCACTCCACCACACCTGCCCTTCAGAACATACCAGACTGAATTTTTCAGGTGAATTCTACCAAAACGTTAAGGATTAAATCAGAGTTTTTCAATTGTGACACTATTAACATTTTGGACCAGATAATTCTTTGTTTGGGATCATCTTGTGACCCTGTAGAAGCCAATAGCACCTCATCCCCAAATTATGACAATCAAAAATACCTCCAGACATTGTCAAATGTGCCTGAGAGGCAAAACTGCCCCCTGTTGAGAACCATTAGATTATATAATATTTATATACAAACAGTTCCAGAGTATAAAAAAAGTTAGAACCTATCCAACATATTATATATGACTAATCCATTAGACAGCAAGGACAAGGATAGTGAAAGAAAAGAAAAATTATAGTACACTAGTCTCAAGAATGAACATAGAGGTAAAAATCCTAAATAACTTATTAGCAAACAAAATTTTGCACTATAACATTAAAAATATATATATATATTATGACTAATCTTGGTTTTCTCAAATGATACTTTAGCATTTATAAAATCTATCAATATGCTTCACTCCATTAATAGATTAATATATGATTTTAAATAAAGATATTAAAAAGAATGTTAGGGAGACTCATACAGATATCAAAAATTTTTTTCACTTCTGTTACTAAGATATAATTCACATCATACAATAATCATTTTAAACTGTACAATTCAGTGGTTTTTCGTATATTCATAAGATACGGTAACCATCACCACTGTCTAATTCCAGAACATTTTCATTGTCCCCAAACATTTTTAAACATTAGCAGATTGCAGTATTATAACAGCATGGTGCAAGAAAAGACAAATTGATCAATGGATTTATCAAAATAAAAAGCTTTTGTATGGCAAAAGACACTACAAAATTAAAAGACAGTGACAGAATTGTCATTTAGGGGCTTGGTATACATAATTATAATATATAAAGAAATAAATAATAATTCTTACAAATTAATTAAAAAACAATAAAAATGAGCAAAAGATAGCTCAGCACATAATAGGAAAGCAAAGGGTTACTAAACATGACAAGATGCCTGACCTCAGGAGTACAGGGAAATACAAATTAAATCAATGAGGTACCTGGTTTCACCTATCAGATTTGCAGACATTAAAACATTTGATAATATCTAGTACAGTGAATAATACTGAGAATGTAATCTGGTACAACTGCTTTGGAGGACTGGTGCATAGTAATCGTTAAAAATTAAAATGTATATACTCAACAATTTCACTTCTTGTCACCTATTCTAAATAAATACTTGAAATACTTGTGCAAATACTTGTACCAGGAGGTATATACAAATGTGTATATTGTTTAAAACGTACATCAAAACAGTAGCAACACCTGTTCTTTAAGGGACAAGTGTTCTTTGAGGGACAAGGTCTTTTTCTTATGATGTAAAAGCACAGTAAGATGACACAATTAAGACCAATGGCTGTTATAACAAAAGTAAATAGCGTAGACTTTCCTATTAAAGGTATTTTCATTTCAGGTCAAATAAGAAAAATCAGCAGCTGTTCAAAATGAGTCACTCAGGGAAAATGAAAGACTTGAAACAGAAAATACAAACATTAGTTAAAGCAGTGATTTAAATATTAATATTAAACAACATTTAGAGTTAAAAATGAAATATTAGCTCTGTCATATATATTTTTAAAAGGAAGTTTCAGGCTTTAATCTTAGAACTTGCTGTTTTCCTTTCTTACTTTCAATTTGAGAGGTTATACGGGATAGGAGACAGAAATCAGATAATTAGTTGAGAAAAATGGTAAGATTCACTTGATTAGTCATGAATATGAAAGAAAAAATTTTCAAGTTTACCTTAAATGTAGAAATACTAACAAGCATAGTTATCATACTTGTCAAAGGCATCAAATTCCTTGAGAGTCTTAAAACTTTTTTGTTTCCCTGTGTTTGACTTAATGTTTTGCATATAGCGGTTTCAGTTAATGTTTGTAGTTGTTGATATTGATAGTAACAGTAATGATGATGACAATGTTCTTGGAGATCCCTGAGTAGCCATGGCAAGCAAAAATTTTACTGTTTTGTGTAGTCAACTCTAATGCTTAATTTCTTTTGTTCAGGTATTGAATGATTCTACCGTGACTAGCTATTCAAAATGTTCACATGTTACAGCTATTAAAAATTCACAAAATGTTATGCAGTTCAGGTAACCTTTAAAAATAAGAAAATACTTTAATTTCAGAAATAATTTATCAGGTCAGTAAATAATATAAACATTTTATTTATTGTGTTTTAGATTGTTAACCCCAAAGAAACAATCAGATTGCAATCAATGGTTTGAAAAAGGAGATGCAGGTATTTACTGTTTATATTTTTCCTAAGAAGTGAGAGAAACAAGTTATATCAGGTTTTTATATCAGTCAAGTAGATTATCTGGATTGTTTGCATCTCTGATTAACTGACCATGCATACCTGGTTTTTAAATACATTTTTCTTAAGTATAAAACAGATACATTTTATTGTAGAAAATTTGGAAAACAGAGAAATATATAAAATAAACAAAAAACCACCACTGACACTTCACAAACTGTTGTATATTGTCTTTTTTCCTATGTATATATATATGTTTCATTATTTTAGTTTAGTCTTCCACATTTGAAGCATACTAGGTATATCATTTTGTAGCCTCTTCTTTCCACTTGATACACCATTGAGGATATTTTTCCATTCCATTAAATCAATTTTATTTGTAATGACTGTATAATATGCATAGATATGCTATAAGTTATTTAGCCATTCTCTCTGAAAATATTTTGTTATTTTCAGGGTTTTTTTTTTGCTTTTATAACTAATGTTACTATGTTCTTTTATATAAATACTTTACTGTCTTGGATTATTTTCTTTGAATAAAATTGTAAAAAGGTCACACACTATATATCTATATATATGTTTATTATCCTAGAATCAACTAGCTATTGGAACTTTGATGCAGCCTTGAAATTACTAACTCATTCTCTATGTATACATGTATGTGTGTGCATGCATGTATATGTATACATGTACATATATGTATATATAAAATATGTATCATGTGGACACATACATATTTTGATAACCCAGTAATGAATAATTATTTCATTCATTAGGCTATTATCTCTTATCTATAGCATGTAGATTACAGACTTATTTTGAAATTTAAAAATGGTTCTCTCTGGCAGTATAAAAATTTTGTGTTATGCATGTCCAGAATGGTCATGTAATATACCATGAGTCTATTCCTCTCACTCTGTGTAGGACTCAGCCAAGACAATATGCTTATTTCATGCAGATGGCTATTCTTACTTCTGAAAGGGGGATTTATATCTTACCTGCCCAGCTGATCTCTTCCACCTGTTTATAATCTTCCATATATGCTAATCTAACAGAATATTAGACAGGGAGGAACAATACATTCCTAATACACATATGTGAGGAAATGCATATATCTGGCATAGTCTTAGCTGACATTGAGCATGTATGGGGAGACTTCATACCCAAGAAGGCATATTATTATCTTGGAAGAAGAAAAGACCCTTTCAACAATCTCCAAACCTATTTTTTGAAGAAGTTAATATGTGGTGAAAATCATAGTTGTGACTTAAATGCAAGAGGCAAAATTGTAAAGCTTTCAGATGACCAAATAGAAAAACATCTGTGTAAGCTAGGAAAGAATGTTTTTAAAGAATTTTTAAAAAGAATTTTTTAAAAAGAATTTAAAAGCCCAATCATAAAGATTGGTAAATTTGGCTCTATTAAAATTAAGAATTTATCTTTATCAAAAGACACTATTAAAAAATGGGAGGCAAGAGGATATATTTTTCAATACATAAAACTGTCAAAGGGCTAGTTTCCAAAAATTTATAGAGAACTTCTACAAACCAAGAAGAAAAAGACAGACAAACTCAATTAGAAATATATTCAAAATAAACAAATAGGCACTTTCAGATAGAGAAGCTTTTGTGGCAGATAAACATGGGAGAAAATGCTCAGCAAATCAGGAAACTGAAAAATAAAACCACAATGGGATATGATTACACATCCACCAGATTAGCAAAGTTCAGAAAGTCTGACAGTACTAAGTGTTGATGAGAATGTAGGACAGTAAGAACTCTCATAACTATTGGTAGGGACTGTCATTTATAAATGACTATATATTGACACCATGACTAAATTTTAGTTGAAGCTAATAAATTTGCCCAGTGAAACTGAGTAATTTCCTAGGGTAGCTCAGGATGGCTAGTTGCCACAACAATAATTAGTGAATAGTTTTGAAACTAAACTTTGGAATATAGTTTAACATTGATAAAATGGAAGATTCACATACTCTATATTTCATAATTCCACTCCTAGGTATGTACCTAGAGAAATACAAGTACACATATACAAATATACATGAAAAATTATGTTAACATCATTATAATAGCCTCAAACCAGAAACACCCCCAAATATCCATTTGCAGTAGAATGGATGGATAGATATATTGTGCTGTGTTTGTACAATGGAATGCTTTACATAAGTAAAAGTAAGCAAGCTGTGTCTCCACGCAACAATACAGATGAATCTCATAAGCATTTGCTAAACAAAAAAAGCATGACAAAGAGCACATATATTACTATTTCATCACATAACATTTTAAAATAGGAAAGAGTATGGGGCCTTTTGGAGAATGTTCTATTTCTTTACCTCAGTGGTGGTTAAATGGGTGTCCACTTTATAATTTTGTTTGTTAAACTATTCATGTAGGTTTTCTTTTCTTATCTTTATGTATTGGGTTGAACTATATAAAATTTCCATTTTTGCAGACCAAGAACAGTTAAATATTGGCAATTTCATATGGTTTGACTAATATGTTTTATTTACAATTAAACTGCAAAAAGAAAAAAATAGTTTGTTCTCATTTAACAAACAGATGCTGAGTGCGGAGATAAAGGGACAGTAAAACAATTGAGAGAATCAAAATATACTTCACAAGTAAGTCAAATGTTTGGTTTCTAATTTCTAAGGAAAATATTCTAATTTAAAATGTTCTGTTTCCATTTAAATTTCAGATTTAGTATAATGAAGTTTATTTATGTGAGATCTAGATATTATTAGCTTGGTAATCAAGTTGTTGTGATATTACAGATTCTATCCCTTAGAAGAGCTATAGATTAAAAAAATGAAGCCACAAAATGTTTATATGAAAATATTTAAAAAATTGTCACTAACAATTGACTATATATAATGACACCACCACAACTAATTCATGACTGACGAAAACAATTTTGTTTGGTGAGATTGAATGATTTACCCCAGCTGCTGCAAAAATACCTTCAAAATATTTTTTAATAGTGGAAAGCTTTAGTGATAGGTGTACCACAGCTACTAAAAGTTAAAACGAGAAACAACGTAGTTTTCTTCTGTAAAGAAATACAGGTTAAAAGCACATTATAATTTTTTTTTTTTGGTGGAGGGTCTCAAATTGTTTCCATAATGGGCTTTGGTAACAAACATATTTGAGAAATCATATTACTAGCCTACAAAATGATATAAAGGAAAATTAGTATTCAAGTTCTCAATCTTTGCAGAAAAAGTAGTATGAATTTATAAGAGTAAAAATATGCAAAGAACATAACCAGTGAGAGCAAGATTGCTTTTCTTTTTCAAGGGGGTATCATTTACAAACTTGACCCAGAGCATGATGTGGAAATTTTAAAAGAAAAATCATTCCCAATACTTTTTATTCATCAGTCTGAGTATGTTCTGGTTATCAGTTACTTTTTCAGGTAGTGGTAGGTGAGGTAGAGTTGGGAAGGAAAGAAAAATTAGAAAATTAAAAAGAATTATTTTTCTGTTTTTTGGACAGATATATTTTGGTCTCAGTTTTACCAATTATCTTTATTTTCTTACTTTGTGAAAAGATACCATCATAGATTAATATGATGTTTTTAACCTCACATGTTTATATATATATATGAGTTTATTTATATTTTATGTATATATGAGTTTATGTTATTTATTAATGACATTTGTTTTTATAGTTTTCTGTTACTTTGAATTTGCAGGTTATATATGCAGAACATTTTGGGAACCCAAAAGAAAGTAACAGTGATGAAGTAGAAGAAAGGCCTGAGATTTTTCCACAAACTCCTGAAATTCCTTTATTTTTAAGGACTCCTGAAGCTGTGAAAACACCTGAATCTGTGGAGAAATTACCTAAAACCCCCTCATTTGAAATGTAAGACTTTAATTAATAATAATAATTAAGGAACCTACATATTAAGTTATATAAGTAATAGGAATAGAAAAATGCCTAGTACCTGTAACTTTAAAAAATTTTTGTTATGGAATATTTTAAACATACAAAGGAAAGAGACTAGTATAATGAACTCTTATGTACTTACCAGTTTGAACAATTATTAACATTCCACCATCTTGCTTCATAGATCCTCTTCTGCATTTTTCCTGAAACATTTAGCTGAATCTCTCACAGACCCTGAATATTTATCAAGTTCAATAATACATAAAGATTTTCCAAAGGATAAAAAAAAGTATGGAAAAATTTAAAGGTCAAGCTAAAGGGTTATTGTCACATTTGGTATATTGTGGACATCACTGAATAATGTTCCAATAGACATTTTTCCTTAATGTTTTAGAGTCTAAAGCCAAGAATTTCCATTCTTTTAAGTAACACCGTTATTTAACTTTGAAAACTACAAATTTGTAGTTTAGAGTCAATGACAGTAGTGCTGTATTTAACCTTTTTGTTTAGTTCAATCTTTTTCCTTAATGCTGAACCCTGATATTCTTCTAAAATATATGCCAAATAGATATCATTTCATCAGGAATCTCTCACCTGTGTTCTACTCTGTATTTTAAATTTCTAGTAAGAATTTTATATATGAATGTGGAACTCATCATCAAATCTGAAAACTGTTACAGAATATGGTAGTCATATACTAAAACGTTTATGGATAAGAAAACCAAACTATAAAGTAACTCATTCATTAATGATAAAGTAACTCAAATCATTTAATCATGGAGATAGTTATGAAAGTATCTTCTGACTTCTATTAGTTTTAACAAACAATAGCATTAACTCTGTGTAAGCATTTATAAATATTGTTCCTTTAATATTTACAACTTTATGAGATGTAAGTACATTATTATCCTTATTTTAGATGAGGGAACAGAATCATAAGTGATACAACTTGTCAGTGATAGAGTTGAGATGTAAACCCCAGCAGTTCTGCCTCCAGAATCCATGCTTTTAACCATTGTATTGTATATTTTCTTATCTAATTATTTTTCCCTAATCATTTTATAATTTAACTCCTTTATAAAACTGTCTGTCATGACTGGCTTCTCATCAAGATTAATTTTGTAATTGCTTTCAAGATCTTGAGGACAGTATGACATCAGGGTTAAGAGACTGGACATTGAATCTGTTTTGCTGCATTCAGATCGCAACTCTGGCACTTAACATTCTTTGAGCAAATCATTTAATCTTTCTACACTTCAAAATCTTCCATAAAATGCAGGTGATACTAATAGTACTTGTCTCATAGGATTGTTGTGAAGAATAAGTAAATTAATGCTGTTGGGAATATATAGAATAGTGCCTTACAGTATGTTTGCAGTAGGAATTCATTATTGTCATTCTATAATTCGTTATTCTACTTTATTTAATATTATTCCCCACCCAAAATCATAGGTTTGGTTTTTTTTCCACAGGTTTTTCATTTCAATAACTACTTCTTCCCTTTTCCTGCTGTGCTAGTTCTCACCCCTATGGCATCACCTATGGTGCTTACCAGTCTGTAATATTTAATAATATATATTTAACATTTTGATGATTTCTTATGTCTCTGTAACAGAAATAGAAATACAACAACTGAAGGTCAAACACAAAAGGAGTCCCCTGGATTTTCTTTCCTTATGAGTTATACTTCTAGATCACCTGGATTGAATTTATTTGATTCTTCTATATTTGATTCTGAAATCTCATCACAGCAGGTAATATGAGAAGCCAAAGTTTTATTTCTAAAAAATTATACACTGGAACCTCAAGTAATTTTACTTCTTTAATACCAAACTGTTTTGAAGTGGAGTACAGGACAGAGGCAGTTTTTTAAAAGAATCTGAGTATTGATAGTATAACAAAGTTCCCCCATTATCTTTTTGTTTTCAACTGCAGGTGCCCCCAGTTGACATCTGTTTATAAAAACAGAATCTCAGAATAGCAATGATTTAAATTGCAGTTAAAGGCAGTTTAAAAATTAATTTGGCTTTATAGTTCTAAACAAACTTCACATATACTCAGTGTGAAAATTTTTCCAGTTTGTTAGTTGGTATTTTCATCTACATGTATATGTGACTAATAACAGCTTCAAAACACAGAAGCAAAATTGACAGAATAAAAAGGAGAAATAGACAAAAACACAAACTTAGTTGGAGATTTTAAACTCCCCTTTCTTAGTAATTGATAGTATTAGACAACACAATCAATAAAGATCTTATATAAAGTCTGAACAACACCATCAACCCCCTTGACTAACTGATGTTTAGAGAACACCACATCCAGCAACTGCAGCATATATATTCAAGTGCTGATGGTACATTCACCAAGATAGTCCATATTCTGGGGCAGTCAATGAGTCTTAATAAATTTAAAAGGATAGAAATCATACAAGTATGTGCTCTGATCACAGTGGAATTATATTAGAAATCAATAAGATATTAGGATAATCCTAAATATTTAGGCTGTGATCAAAGAAGTAGTCATGAGAAAAATTAGAAAATATTTTGAAATGGATGATCATGAAAATTCAGCATATCAAAAATTGTGGGTTGCTGCCAAAACCAGAGCAAAATGATAGCTTTAAATAATTTAATTAACCATTTAAACAATTAAATTAATAGAAAAAAAAAGAAAGGTCTGTGATCAGTGACTTAAAGTTCCACATTGAAAAGCTAAAAAAAGAACACAGTAAAGCCAAAGTTGGTTCTTTGAAAAAATTGGCAAAATTTATAAACTCATTACTTTGACAAGGAAAAACATAAGACAACTATATTAGAAGTGAAAGAGAGGATATCCTTACAGGTCCTACAGACATTAATAGTAAGGGAATATTATGAAATAGAAGGCTGGTAAGGGGAAATGTCACTTACTATATACTAAAACATTCTGTAAACCTAGCAATCAAAATAGTGTGATAATAGTACAGGGATTGATAGATTGATCAATGGCATGGGAGAGCATATCTTGAAACAAAAGAGTTTAGAATATGATATAGGTAGCACCACAAATTAGGCACTTTTCTTACAACATACACCAACAGACATTATAAGTGCATTAAATTTTAAAATATTAACCATAAAATATTTCAGAGAAAATGTAGATGAATATTTAGCAGATCATAAGAAGAGGAAGGATTCTCTAAGCATGGAAACAGTGGAAGAAGAGCCAAAGACAATAAAAAGAGTTTGGGTTTGGTTATATATAAAAGTTTTATATGTTAAAAAATTTTAAAGGTGAAATAATAATGTGATATAAAATATTTGTAATAAATGCTAAAGAATTAAGATTTCAGAAAAGAGGGCCCAGAAGTAAACCCACACACTTATGGTCAATTAATTCATCAAAGGAGGTAAGAATATATGATGGAGAAAAGACAGTATCTTCAGTAAGTGGTGTTGGGAAAGCTGGACAGCTGCATGTAAATCAATGAAATTAGAACACTGCCTCACACCATACAGAAAAATAAACTCCAAATGGCTTAAAGAATTAAACATAAGACAAAGACACCATAAACCTCCTAGAAGAGGACATAGGCAAAACATTCTCTGATATGAATGGTAGCAGTATTATCCTAGTTCAGTCTACCAAGGCAATAGAAATAAAAGCAAAAATTAACAGATAGGACCTAATTAAACTTATAAGCTTTTGCACATTAAAGGAAACCATAAATAAAACAAAAAGACAACTTACAGAATGGGAGAAAATATTTGCAAATGATGCATCTGACAAGGGCTTAATTTCCAGAATATAAAAACAGCTCATACAACTCAATAACAAAAAAGCAAACAATCCAATCCAAAATGAACAGAAGACCTAAACAAACATTTCTCCAATGAAGACATACAAATGGCATATGAAAAAATGCTCAGTATCGCTAATTATTAGAGAAATACAAATCAGAACTGCAGTGAGGCATCCCTCATTGTGATGGCCATCATTAAAAAGTCCACAAACAATAAATGCTTGAGAGGGTGTGGAGAAAAGGGAACCCTCCTACACTGTTTTTGAGAATGTAATTTGGTGCAGCCATTATGGAAAACAGTATGAAGATTCCTTAAAAAACTGAAAATAGACACCCTATGATCCAGCAATCCCACTCCTGGGCATAAAACTCTAATTTGAAAAGATATATGCACCCCAGTGTTCATAGCAGCAGTATTTATGATAGCTAAGACATGGAAGTAACCTAAATGTCCATTGACAGATAATTGGATGAAGAAGTTGTGGTATATATATATATAAATATATAGGAATATTACTCATCCATAAAAAGGAATAAAATAATGCCATTTGGAGTAACATGGATTGACCTGGAGATTGTAATACTAAGTGAAGTAAGCCAAAAACAGAAAGGAAAATACCATATGTTATCACTTCTATGTG